TGATGGCCATCTGTCGGGGGTGCTTTGAATACAATTTTCCTGCTTCTTGGCAGGGGGTTGGATTGGATGGCCCATGAGGTCCCTTCCAACTCTATGATTCTATGATCATATGATTCTACTTGTGCTCCCTCTGCTGCTAGACCTTAACTCAAAATGCTATTCTTATGTCAAAGTGAAACCTAGGACAAACAACGGCTCTTAACTCAAAATGCTCTTAAGTAGCGGTTCCACTGTATAACATGTCTTTTTTTCTATATTTTTTGCAAATCATGTGTCTCTTAAGAAGGCACAGGCTATGCGTGTGCAAATGTAGAATATCAAGAAACAAGTAGACTTTTGTCCCCATGCTGGATTGATGACTGCCTTTGGCTTTGGCTAGAAGCCTCTATTCTCCAGTACAAACAAGAGAGAAAGGACCACAGAGGCAATCTGGAGTCTCTAAGTGACTGTTTGTTGCTGCTATTTTGGGCCTTTGTTGTATTTTGGTACTTTGCTCTTTACAGAACTGACTTATTGTGAGTCTGGTTATAAAAGCAGGTCTCTTGAGGGGGTGGGCTGCTGCCAAAGGAATTAACACAAAAAAGGAGTCACCTCTTTGGATGAGTCACTTGAGGTACATATGGATGAGGGCTTGTCCTTCTGCCTGACAGACTCAAGGATTTCTTACCTAGATTCATACAGGAGATGATCCCAAGGGCCATTCAGTTCAATTGCCCATCTTGCAGAAGACATGATCAAAATTTTCCCAACTTATGGCCATCCATCCTCTGTTTAAAAACCTCAAGAGAAGGAGACCCCACCACACTCTAAGGCAGTGTATTGTACTGTCATACAACTCTAACAATCAGGACATTTTTTTCAAATGTTTAAGTGGAATTTCTTTTCCTGCAATTTGATGGGTGGTCTAGGCTAGGAACTGGATGAGGGTGTGCATCTCAAATAGTTCTGCTGGATGTCTCAGTGGTTTTCAATAACATTGGTCATAGTATAATTCTGGGCCACCTCACTGGAATGGAATTTGAAGTTACTTTTTTATAGTAGCTCCAATCCTTCCTGGTGGTGTTGACTGAATCCTGTTCACAGACACCTGCCTCTTGGCTTGCAGGTTTTCTCAAGGTTCTGTTTTCTCACTCAGGCTATCTAAGAATATTCATGAAACTGCTGGGAGAAGTATTCTGGTTTTGGAGTGTAGTGTCATCACTATGCAGATGGCACCCTCTTCTATTACTCCTTTCCACCTTAATTCAAACAGGTGACCTTGAGTCTAATCCAGTAATTGACTTGGAGAAATCTTGACAAGACAATCAAAGGCAGATCAAGGAATAGGAATTCAATCTGTGTTAAATGGAGTTACACTCCCACTGAAGAGAGACACAAGTTTGCAATTTGGGGGACGCTTTTGGATTCAGTTTTGAATCTGGAGACCCATTTCTGTGGTGGCCAGAAGTGCTTTCACATTTGTACACCCACTAAGCTCATTTCTTGAGCTACCTAATCTGACTATAGTGCTACATTCCTTAGTTACACTCCATTTGGCCTCTGTAACATGTATGTGGGCAGCCCTTGAAGAGTGCTTGGAAACTTTTGCTAATTCAAAGAGCTGCAGCATGTTAACTGGAGCAGGCTACAGGTACCATACTTTTCCCATTACAACAACTCCACTGGCTGCCAGTTTGTTTCTGGGCACAATTCAAAAAGCTGGTTATGACCTATAAAGTCCTATGGGGCTCAGGTCTAGGCTATTTATCAGACTGTATCTCCACATTCAACAATGTTAGTCTGGAATATCAATCTATAAAGACTACTTGTAGAGTATAACTAAAAGAATTTTCATTTATTGATTGTGTCAGAAGTGTACTGATAATACGTACATCTGATGTCGCTGTAAGATGGTCCTCCATTGTGCATGTGGCAGGACTCAGACTGCATTGCTATAAGTGGTCTGTGGTTTCCTCTTCTCCGCACTCGCATGTCGTGGACTCCACTTTGTAGCCCAGGTATTTTGGTGTGCTGCAATGCTCCAGTGGGATTCCTTCCCAAGTAATCCTCGGAGCTTAAGATGCTTGTCTCTTCTTATAATGAAAAGCACACATCTGCATTTTAGATGGATTAGGCATCAGCTGGTTTTCCCTGTAATAGACCACAAGAGCACCTAAGGATTCAGAGGGCTTCTGTTCAGCCATTTCAAAGCTCCCTGCTTGAGTGGTGATGGCACGATTGTAAGCATAGATGAAACTGAAAGAATGAAGCTTGTAGGCAAAGCCTACTTCCTCAAATGCCTGGCGTGAGGTGCCTCCCTATATGAGCCTGCATAAGCCCTGATATCATCAAGTCTGACACTTCCTTGAATCACAAGCACAAAGGGCCTTTTCACTGAGTGTCCCTAGACTCCTCTCTTGTTGTCTTTCCATTAACAGGTGGAAAACTTTTTTAAATATTTTGACAGGCTTTTAATACAATTTTTTTTAAAGTTTGAGCTAAATAGTGCTATATTTAAATGCAACTGTATTTAAATAATTTTTGACTTTTGTTGTTGTTGTTGTTGTTGTTCATTCGTTCAGTCGTCTCCGACTCTTCGTGACCTCATGGACCAGCCCACGCCAGAGCTCCCTGTCGGCCGTTACCACCCCCAGCTCCCTCAAGGTCAGTCCAGTCACTTCAAGGATGCCATCCATCCATCTTGCCCTTGGTCGGCCCCTCTTCCTTTTGCCTTCCACTTTCCCCATAAAAATAAAATGTATTTTATTGAGTATAATTTGAAACTTTTATAATACTGAAATTAGTTTAGTTCTATCTTATTGTTCATTTGTTGTATGTTTCAAGTAAAATAAAAACCAGGGGCATAAACTAGAAAACAACATATTCATTTGGTTACATTTCTTAGCCATTTACTAGAACAAATGTAGTTATAAAACGTTGCTGCTATAGAAATAGAGATAAGTCTTCTTTTTTGAAACCTTATTATTATTATTTATTATTATTATTCCTATTCCTATTCCTCCTTCCCCTGTATCTCAAGGAGATATCTGACAGTTTGTACTTTCAAAGTGACAAAGCTGATCTTTCTAGTCTCTCATAAAACCTAACATGGTCTGCACATTTCTTGTTTTGTCTGTTTGTTTGTTTTTTAGGTAATACGTCTTTCAGCATGTATGCTTGGAAATTGTAAATGTTGTAGTCTATTTTTTTTTACAAATTCTACTTTGAAATGCATAACTTGGAATTAAATCCTAGCTATTTAAAATGACTTCGTACAATTGTTTATCTAAGTTACAAACCTCAACCCACTTCTAACCCTGTCTTCTGGGAAACAAGTCTAATTAGTTTCATCTAGGTATATCTTCAAGTAAACAATGTCTAAATCCTATGCTTAATAACAGTGTTGCACAATTTCACAAGCTAAAAAAACAAAGTGTTGCATTGCTTTCTATGGAAGTGACCTGAGGCCTAAGCTACAGATGACAATTCATGTCTTCAGAAGGTTATCCCAAAGCAAGTCAGGCATATTGATTTCAGAGTTACACTATGCCAGTACCTTGTTGTTAACTGACATTGACTCAAGTTCAAGTTATGGTGACCCTATAAATGAGAAACCCTCAAGTCACCCTATCACCAGCAGTCCTACTCAGAGCTTTCAGACTGAGGGCTATGACTTCCTTGGCTGAGCCTCTTCACCTGGAATGCAGTCTTTATCTTTTGCTATTGCCTTCTCTCTCATCAGCCAGCGCTGTCTTTTCTAGTGAGACATGCCTTCACACATTGTGTCCAAAGTGCAATAGTCTCTGTTTAGTCATCTTGTATTTGCCAATTTTCCCCACAATCTTTTGCTGCCTTGTCTTTCAGTTGTAGTATATGTGATGCCAAATTGAACACTAACATTTTTTTTTATTCTGCTCTGAAGCCTACTTTTTCATCCCAAGCATCTATGCTTAACAACAAATCCTGTTTAGGTGTGTAGTCAATTTCTTTCTGGATTCTAGTACACATTCTTTTAAATTTCTTTTTCAGCATCTGAAGATGGAACACAAACTTGGATTATATTTAAACCATATCAATTCAGGTTTTCCTGAAATTGTATTGATACTATTTGGTCATACTTTGCATTATATTCTTTGACAACTTTTGCTGCATCTCTTCTCACTATGCATTTCACCCCATGACACAGCACCATCCAAGAGAGCCAAAGAACATCAGCAGCAGGGAGCTTGGAGGAAGAGGCAGTGTCTGTTTACTGCAGGCTGCCTTTGACCTGAGTTCCTGGTGACTGGCTCCTTACAGACTCAGGCCCTGACTGCCTGGCTGAAGCAAGGCCCAGCAGAAACACCTGCTGGGGGATAAAAGGATGATGTTGCTGGGGGCCCAGTCACACAGCACTATCCAAGAGAGCCAAAGAAGATCTTAAGATCATGACAGGGGAAGTTGAGGGCCTAGTAGGGTGTCTCATGATGTTGCTATTATAATGATAGACTGTAATGCTGCTACTTGACCAAGAGACTTGAGAAACACCACTGTGCAAGTTTGACGAGTGACAGAAATGCAGTTTAACATCCTATCACACCACAGTTAGAAATGAAGCAGTTAATTGTGTGTGGGGTTATGTTTTACATTGTATTTATATGTCTATTGTGGCTAGTGATTTTATGTTATGTTTTATATAGTTTGTATAATGAGGCATTGAATTTTTGCCTAGATGACTGCTGTATAGTGCTCTGGGTCCCCCGAGGGATGAAAAAAGCAAGATAGAAATGAAGTAAATAAATTAATAATAACAATTTTGTCTTATATTTCCATTTTCTGAGTAAAGCTATGCAATTATCTGATGTAAAATGTCCAATTCCTGCCCACTTTTGCTCACTCATCCCAAGTATCACAATGTTTATATCTTTCATTTCTTGTTTTACTATGTCTAGCTGCTGCTGATTCACATTTCCCACATTTCATACTCCTATAATATGTGTTGTGCAGTTTTGGAATTTCCTTTCACTTCTTAGCACATCAGTTAACAGAAAATCTTTCTGACTTGAGTCCAGTTGCATCATTAACCACAGCGCTCTTTAAAGTTGATAATTCCAGAAGTTAGTTGAGTGCCTTCCAAGCTGTGAGTATAATTTTCTAGCACTATCTCTTGTTTCCTTCTTCATTGTTTTATCATAGGGCTGTCATGGTAAAAGGTGTTGGAAAGGGATTTATGGTGCCTCCTTCTGTGCAATGCAAACAAGCACTATCTATGGTGCCACTGGCATTATTTCTGGCAGATATTCCACAGATGTGAACCCCCACTATTGCTGCTTCCCAATCATTAATTCATATTTTATAAGGTGTATGAATAGAGTTTTGTAAAATTAAAATTTAAAACATTATAGTTTGTAGAATTCCACAGCTGATATGACCGGGAGCATTATAACATTTGAAAAAGCCTGTACAAGGGTGGAAATGGAGAACAGTCTTCTCCTTGCAGTTCTCAATTCTTTGAAGTACTTCCTTGAATTTGTTTTGTCCTAGCTTTTGGAAGCAGGAGTATTTTTGTTTTATATTAACATTGCATTGCTTTTGCACATTTTCATCCTAACCTCCACCTAGAAAAGGTTGTGAACAAATCCCAAATGTATATGTGAAAAATTGAGTTTGGCTGCACTCTTGTGGTAATATAGAGAGTGTGCTTTAATTTCTTTCCCTACAGAATTACATGAGTTCTATGTTTATTTGGAATAAAAAGAAACCATGTAAGTAAAACAATTGTATTTTGCTTTTTTTAAAAAAAAAAAAGCAAAAGCAAATTATAGTCATACAGTTTATAGACCTTAAGTCATTTTTGTAATTACAGTTAACAGAAAAGGCATAAATAACACAATCCAAACAAAACATAGCAAAATAATCAAAGCAATCTCAATTTATCATATCTTACAAGGAACCAGACTGTAATTGATGGTGAAGATACATTAAAAATGCCTGGCTTTACTAATAATCCCATTCCAGCATCCTTTTAAGATATTTGCTTACCACATTTGGAAATGCCTCTTTTCTACAGTATGCCATAGAAAAACATTTGATGTTTCTTCATTCAGTTTGTTTTCATTTGATCAGCACATTCTCTCCCAATAGTTTTGTTTTTTGGCTAATTTCCAATTTTCATTCAGATGGAGTAAAAGACAAGATGGAGTGATTGCATCATTTTAATATTAAAAGGGCACTCACAGAAAGGAGGGATCAAGTTTGTTCTCTAGTGTCCCAGAGGATAGGATGATTTTGCCCTGTTTTGCCACTTTTAATCATGGCAAGGATGGGGCCTGCCATGCACCATAACATGATGCGCGGAGAAACACCTAAAGTGCTTTTTTTCTCCACTCTGGGGAGGAAAGTGTAGTTTGCATAGCTCCAACTGAACTACCTGCACTTTCCTCCCCTTTTTGCCATGTGATAGCAGAAAGAGCAGCGGTGCAATGTGTGTTGCTACCTTTTCTATCATCTGATGAAGGGATGTGATGAGGGGAGGAGGGAGGGTGTACAGAGCGCCACATGCCACCCTGCACACTTTCCCTTTAACTGGCAATTGCTGGTGCAATGACAAGGCCCGAAAGGGCCATGTGAAAAAGTCCCAATGCTACAGGACTATCTATTTTGATTAAACATTGGAACAAAATTTGGCAATGGAATCAATTTCCTAGAAAGGTAATGGAATCAGTTTCACTTTACATCTTCAAAAAGAGGCTGGACAAGTGATGCTGGAAATGGTCTAGTTACAGTTCCTGCACTGCCTGGGGAATTGGAGATTATCTCCTCTGCAACGCCTTCCAGCTCAATGTTTGTATTTGAAAAGATGTAAGCCATAATTCTTTTGGTTGCTTGAGTCAACCTTTGAAAGATGTGTCAACCCAATTAGATCAGATTGCTTCAAAGGATCTACTCCAGTCACTTTCCTTGTAAGTGAAGGCAAAACCTAAGCGCACCGATAGTCTATCAAAATAATCCCACCTAATTTTCATTAAGGAGACTTGATTGCTTAAAAATGGATTATTGTTAGGGTTCCCAACACTTGGGAAGCATGCTTTTAAGCTTTTTCTATTTTTACAAAATCTTTCTATTATCTGAAAAAGGCTGCATTGTTTTCACTTGTGAGCCACATTACCAGAGAACAGTGCGACGGCTGAATACACACAGTGCACACAGAGAGAAGCAAGAGTGAGACTGGCAGATATTTAACCATTCTCCAAATAATCCTACTTCTTTCTAGTACATTTGTTGTTAGTTAGTCAAATCCTGTCCCTGGCCAATTTTCTTTAGTGATACTTTTTAAACATCACAGTTTGCTTATTTTACCCCCCTGCTCCACCAATAGCTCAATGTCAAACAAGAAGTGATGTCATGTCATTTGTGGGTCAGTCCCAGGAACACACTCAGAACAGTTGCTTATCCCTACTGTATCCATTCCCCTGGAATTAAATTTCCCTGGTGTTCATATAGATGACACTTTTCTATGGATATGCATAAGTTTATGTAAGCCAGTTATGCTTTAAGAATATATGATAAGGCACAATTATTTGTAATACATCTGGCATACCTGAATTCGTGATGTAAGTTCAGACCCAGTTTAAAAGTCTGTTTCAAATAAATTTTTCTCAGCATTTCTGTGTGTGCGTGTGTGGTCTGTACCCTATTTCCATGTAAAAGTTCTATATACAATGCACATTGGAAAACAAGTGATCATATATTTGAACGAACTGTTCAATTTCTATATATTTTCTACTTTTTTCTCCCTTACTGGTGGTTCATATTGGTTGCTTTTATCTTTCTAGTGATTTTTTAAAAACAGAAACCCAAAGTCCTGGCAGGCTGGTGCTGTCCCCCTTCTACCAGCTAAGGGACTTCACCGTTTTGCTCTAGTGTACTGGCTTCTGAAAGTGTTGACCACCAGCTTTCTTTCAAATCTTGTGCAGAAAATAGCCTTACCTAACTATATCATTTCCTCCTCTCCATTATCAACCATCTTTTTTTGCAACTGTGGGATTGAGCTGCTCTGTTTCCTTGTTTACATATTTAGATCCACAAGAAGGAAGTGGTAAAGCTGACTAACTAGCGACAGGTTTTCTGAGAAAGAAGCCAAACGGTTTGGTTCACACCGGAAGAAGTTGTTGCCTTCAGTTTATTCACAGTTCTGAAGAAAGCCAAACTGTAGGCATTAAGTGTATCTACTACTTTTGGTTGCTACTGAGGAGAGTCCTGTGACTGGGTTGGTTTGACTGGCATGAATTAGTCTGTAACTGGAACCTAAATGGATTCTCGATACACTCCCTATCGCTCTGAGGTGGTCCGGTGGTCCCCAGATGACTTGGCAGACTACTTTAAGAAGGTGAGTTTCACTTCATTTCAGCAGTTCGATTTTTACCTCACTCCTTATTATTTCCACTTGTGGGCTTTTGCTTTCATAACTTTAGAAGTTAGTGTCATTTTTGACATAATTTGCAACGTTTTCTGAATGTGATAAATTTGTTAGAAAATGGTTTCTAGCCTCCTGTCTTAAACTAAGTCTTTTTTTCCTTTTCATTTGTTGGAAGTCTTAAATCTTTTTAGTGACACAACAAGATAGTTATGTTAGTTTTATTATAGAAATTCATAAAGAAATCTGGTAGCACTTCTGAAACTAACTGGGAAAAGGAAATTTGTAGCATAAGCTTTTGTTATATAAAGCCCAGATCATCAGATGTAAAAACTGAAAAAAATTCTTCCAGAATGGCTTACTTGGTTTCTCAAAGTCCAAGAGATTTAGGGAGCTGTAGTCCTATAAAATAACACCCTGGACTCTCAGAGTAATGGGTTTTCCCACTTCTTTTTTTTTTTGCTTGCCCTGACCTCCCATATTGAGGGATATAAGATCTTCCAAAACAGTTAGAGGAAGGGAAAGTAGAATCACTGAAATTCAGGAAGCTTTGCCTTATGCATATACCACCAGTTTAGAGTGCAATCCATTCTTCATTTCATATTTTCTCAGCACCTTCTTGTCCTATCTAATATAGGTCTGGAAAAACTATTATAGATAAATACTAATTGCTTTACTCTTCCATACAGACAGGGAGAGGAGTTTAATACCCAGATACCAGTCACTGGGTAAAAAATAGCAAATGTTTGTCAAAGATTAAGAGACACCAAAGAGATATGTTTTATTTATTTTGTAATGATTGTTTTTAACTGTTCTATAATGTTTTGAGCATTGAATTTTTGCTACTGTAAACCACTTTGAGTTGCCCGAGGGCTGAGGAAAGCGGTATATAAATATAGTATATATATATATAAGATTTCACCCTCATAGAATCATAGAATCAAAGAGTTGGAAGAGACCTCAAGGGCCATCCAGTCCAACCCCCTGCCAAGAAGCAGGAATATTGCATTCAAATCACCCCTGCAGATGGCCATCCACCCTAATATTGCATTCAAATCACCCCTGCAGATGGCCATCCACCCTAATTTTAAATAGCAAGAAAGCAGCTGTTTGCAGTAGCATAAAGACCACATGGGATGACCAACTAGGCTCCATGTTAAAAACATTAAAATTTGGGTTGAAAACATTAAAATTTCACTAGTGGAATGGACTCACTAGCGAATATGATATATGACACCAGCAAGAAAAGAAGGATTGACTGGCATCCGTTAAGACTTTACTTAAAACAGAGAAAAAATATTGTTCTAGAGACTAGGGAAGGTGACTAGCAGAATTAAAAAAGAGTAAGAAAGACAAGTTTTTTTGAAACCCTGCAGAACCTTTGAGGAAGTTCAATAGTTGTATGTAACCCCATTGTAACCCACTGTCCTGTCCTTCCAACACTACCCCATTCCCTATTTCACATCATCACCCTCCCCCTTTTCCAAATAATATGATTGTATTGTATACATTTTTACCTGTTTGTTGTAAGTGTATGTCATGAAAGGAAAAACTCACAATAAAGATTTTTTTTAAAAAAAGAAAACATTAAAATTTCAGGAAACCTTAGCTGTAAAATATAGATCGCCTTGCATTCCAAACCAATCTGTTAACTTCTAGATACCACAGATGTATATGTGTATATTCCTTATAAAGATATTGCCAAGTAACATCAGATACGTTAAAAACTCAACATGTTTGCATAATGTCAGGGCCAAAGTTGTCTTTAGAGGAAGTGAGGCTGTATCTACATTGCCCTATAATCCATTTTCAGAATGCAGATTAATTGTTCAATGCAGTTAATCTGCATTCTGAAACTGGATTATATGGCAGTATAGATCCAGTCTGAGGCAATTTCCTGAGATAGATGGTTTGATATTAGGTAGTAAATTGTTGACTATTCAGTTTTTGTGTTGTTCTTGTTCTCTGGTAGTTTTTTTTTTTACTGTCAGGGAAGGGGAAGTGTGCTAGTTGGACTTTTCTGTATCAGATACAAAAAATAACTTGGCTAATTGCATACTATACTAATGCTTCTGTGGGAAGGCAGAAGCAGCACTTGTTTCTCTATCTCAGGATAGACTGAAAACAATATTTCAAAATATTTGAAAATAATCAAAAATATTTTCGAAGTGGGATGGTTTTATGCAGAAAACTTTTCTTGTTTTCTCACCCCTCCTTGTCCTATCCAATATGTAAAACAACATTCTTCAGAGTGTACATTGTTTTCTGTAAATAATATGCTGTTTCTGTCCTGACAAACAGTTTAGTTGTGGACCTGTGTTGTATAAAATTCATAAATGGTATTGTGCACAGAAAACAGGTGTCTTTCTGCATAGGAAATGTCATTTTGAGAATGGAAAGTAATATGTTGGTGGCAAAATGATATTTTTCATAGCAGTTCCATGTTCAGAAAATGCTCAGTTCAAAATCACCATATGCAATTTGAGAGCACAGTAAGTGCCAAACCGCATGTAGTCTTTGAAAACTGCACAATTTTGAAAGATTTTTTGTTAATGGGAAGAAAATTCCTGAATTTTCTCATTGCTTTCTTCAAGATGGAAATTAAATTACATTCCTCATTACAACTTCTAAACTGGATTCTAAATCGTGTGAAGGATCCCACACCATTTTTACCAGAGCACTGTCTTTTTCTCAACTCAACAATAACCCTAGCGAGGTTATTCCCTGAAGTGTAGACCAAATGCTGCTATCTCTTGTTAGGGACAAATTTTTTAAAAAATTAATGTAAACTTCAGAATTTGGAATAGAATCAGAGTGAGCTCTGCTTATACTTAGATGGGGGACCACCAAGGAATAGCAGGTGCTGTAGGCGATATTTCAAGGAAGGAAATGGCAAAACACATCTTAGTATTCCATGCCTAAGAATACTCTGTGAAATTCATGAGGTCATCAAACATCAGTAAGTAACTTGATGACCCACATATTTACACACAAACTTGAGAAATGATGTTCTACTCTCACTGTTTCCTATAGGTCATTCATTTGAAAAAATTAATTGTAACATCTTCACACAGAGAATTCCCAGTTTCAGCAATATTAAGCCAAATGTCATAGTAAGACTTCATTAAGCTCTTGTGTAAGAAAGAGGCAGGGAGCAGGGGAAGGCAATGTAATTGATTTTTTATTTTAGCATGCGCGTTAGTGGATATGAATCCACTTCCTCAGATGTAGTGATATTTAAATCTCAGGTAATACAACACATTTGTACAATTGCGGAAGTGTGGAGAATTAATAGCTTCTGTTGTGTAGCTTCAGAAGTGGCATAGTAAATGGAAAAGAGCACTGACAGCTCCATCATGCTGAGATCTAGGGGGTTTTGTAACCTCTGCATATTCCCAATGCCATTCAATTCCAAATCGGGGAGCTTGAAACCTTGGCATTTGAAGAGATATCTCTTCCAATATAACACTACCCAAGGAGATGGAAAGACATAGAAAAGGGCTTTTTTGGCAGCACTCAATTATGCTGTCCCTTTTTCTCTGGCACCAAATTGTTTAATTGTCATGCTATTTTTTTTAAATTAAAGCTTTCATGATGTGATATTTTTCCTGTTTATACATGCAATTTTAACTTAAGCTTGTTTTAATGCATGTAGAATTCTTCATTGTTTCACATTTTTTCATTTAAATTAATTTAAATTTAATTGATGCTGCCAGAGATCTTGCAATATCAAGTGGCATAAAATCATTGTTGCCATTGTCATTATCTCCTTGAATTGTTTTCTATGGTTTATGGAGTTTTGGTGGTGGCTCCATACCTGACTGTAGAGACCTATTCTGGATCTGCCCGTTATTTTGCAGAGAGGACATCAATTTCTAGAGGGAAGGTGGTCCTGATAAGTGTTGGCTTGACATGTTTTTCCCTTTCACTTTCCATCCGTGCCTCTTCAAAATCAACAGCAACTGGTAACAGCTGACTTCTAGTTAGAACACTCCAGTGCCAGGGCTTCCCAGTTCTCAGTATCTATGCCACAGTTTTTAAAGTTAGCTTTAAGCCCATCTTTAAATCTTGTTTGCTATTCACCAACATTCCATTTTCCGTTCTTTAGTTGAGAGTAAAGTAACTGTTTTGGGAGATGGTGATTGGGCATTCAGACAATGTGGCTAGTCCAGTGAAGTTGATGGCAGAGGATCACTGCTTCAGCTCTGAGGATTACCTGGAAAGGAATCTCAATGGAGCATTGCAGCACACCCAAATACCTGGGAGTCACTCTGGACCGTGCTCTGACCTACAAGAAGCACTGCCTGAATATCAAGCAAAAAGTGGGTGCTAGAAATAATATCATACGAAAGCTGACTGGCACAACCTGGGGATCACAACCAGACACAGTGAAGACATCTGCCCTTGCGCTATGCTACTCTGCTGCTGAGTATGCATGCCCAGTGTGGAACACATCTCACTACACTAAAACAGTGGATGTGGCTCTTAATGAGACATGCCGCATTATCATGGGGTGTCTGCGCCCTACACCACTGGAGAAATTGCACTATTTAGTTGGTATTGCACCACCTGACATCCGCTGGGAAGTAGCAGCCAATAGTGAAAGGACCAAGGCAGTGACATCTCCAGTTCATCCCTTGTTTGGGTATCAGCCAGCACGTCAACGACTTAAATCAAGAAATAGTTCAGACAGTCCAAGAAGGGGTAGCCTCCTTTTTCTTCCTTCCTTCTAGTTAAAGGTGATCAATATTGAGACTTGTAACCCAGCCACATTTGCACAGATGTACTTTGGCTACCGTTGGTTTTTGGTCAGAGGTTTTTGGTCTACTCTGATTGCTTTTCTGATTTGTGATTGTGTGATACTCTCACAGTTTTCGGCTAGATTGTTTACTGTGCATACTTTTAAAAAATTATGAGTTATGTAGATGTATAGCAAGCTTATAAACCAAACATCACCATGCATGAGGTTGCTTATGTTAAGTCACATAAACATGCCAGAGCTTTTGTTCCTGTATCACACCACTTTGATAGGCAATGATTTTCTGGGATCTCAGAGAAACACCTTTACTATCACATAGTACCCAATTATTTCATTGAATATGGAGAATGGACCAGAGATGTTTTGCAGGCAAATTATTTATTCTGCCACTGGCTCATCCACATAATACTGGAATCTCTCATAGCCAGAATCCCCCTAGGTATTCTGACAAGATTGGTCCTTTTAAAAAAAGTATACGTTTCCCGAGGAAAGTTTTTTTCCAAGTCAATTCTAAAGCATGCAAAAGACCTCTAAAATAGGATCTAAAACAGAGCCAATGCAGAAGGATTATTATTTAGCTCTGTGGCTGAGGATGTCTTCAGATGCCATCTTGTCATCCATGTAAACATATAAACGAATCAATGTGCACTTTTAAGAACCAATTTCATTGACTGAGCTTTGGTACTAGATTAAAATATAGTACCAAACCACTAGTCCATTTGGTCATGTGTGGTCAACTTTTACTCACTGTACCATTCTAGCATTTTGAACAGATCTTTCCTAGAAATACCTGATATTCTTTAATGATCTTCCACCTTAATAGTGATCAGGTTTTGCCATGTTTCAAATAAGAAACAGATATATTCAGGATAGGAGAGCCAGTGTGCTGTAGGGGTTTGAACACTGAGCTACAACTCAGGAGACCAGGGTTTGAATCTTCATTTAGTCAAATGAATCCATTTGGTGACCTTGGGCAAGTAACACTCTCTCAACCTCAAATGCAAATCTTCCCAAGAACACCCCATGAATAGATTCACTTTAGGGTTGCCACAAGCTGAAAACAACTTGAAAGCTCACTACCATTATCACAACAGCAATGTTCAGGATAGGTAATTATGTAATGGATGTCCTCATCAGTGATCAGATAAAGAAGAGGGACTTAACTGAGAACTGCCACCCAAACTGTTGAACTCAAGGGAGATGTGTCTGGCTTCCTCTTTTCTATTTCCTGTTTTTAAATAGGTTCTCAAAGCTAAGTAATTAAATAATTTAGCATGTTATTAAAAGTGACAGTTTATAAGGCATCCTCAAAAAAGTTAATAAAATAATAAAGATGGTTGGCACTCCATGTCTTGGGATTCTGCGCCCATTGATCTAGCCATCTACAGCTTGACAATATTTTTTAAGAAATTCAAAAATATATTTTAAAACCCCATTATTTTGGCATTTTATCTAAGTGGGATATCATTTTATTACCCCATTATATATAATGGGAGTTGAGCAGCCATATATTTTGATATCTACAGAGGGTACTGAAACCACACCCCAGTTTAGAATAGAAATACAAGATATATCATATCATGATGACTATGACAAGAACCAATAACCAGTGTTCTATCCAGGAAACTCCAAAGCCTCTCTTTTTATTTTTTGTGGTTATTTGTCTGTAAAATAGCCTCAGACTGAATAACTCAGAAGTTTCATTTCAACAGAGACTTAACAGCTCTTTAAAAAGAGCTCATGCTCTTTTAGGCATGTACTTGCATGATAATAGTGCTGCTATTAGCTCTTTGTTTATGTAGTTATTGTTGTAAGTTCACTTGCTTTGGGTTATATAATTGGGATATATAATACATGTGTGTAGGTGTATATTAATGTGTGATGTGTGTGTGAAATACAATCAGAACAGAGTTGGGAACACACTGATATTCTGTAGATTAACCATCTCTAGAATCCCATATTGAGCATAGAGGAATGGCAACACTGGAAAACCTGCCTCCAGAATCTCATCTGGAGCTGGGTGGCTCTGCGTTGAGAGGGCTTGGCTTGTGCCTTCCTGCCTAGCAGAATAGGGCTGGACTAGATAGCCTCCTAAGGGAGGGGGTTTCTTGAGTTTCTAGGATTCTATGCCTCTAATTATCCTTGCTTGTGTTAGAAAAGGAGGAGGAGGCCAGAAGTGCAAGTTGCTGCAAGACTGTCAGAGTTAAAAGAGGGAGGAGGAGGAAGAAGAGAGAGCATGTGAAGGGGGGGGGGAGGAAAAAAAGGAGACGAGAGGGGGGGATCTGGAGCAGTGTGTGTGTGTGTGCAGGAAGAAAGGGGGGGTCCTCTGCCCACCCAGCCAGGAAAGCAATGACAAAAGGCAGCCAGCCCCCCACCCTGCTAACAGCCCCAACTCAGTTATGTCTTACCCCCTGCAGCCCTTTCCCAAGCCCAGGCCCACTGCCTTGGGTTCTCTCCCCCCTTTCCTTCCTTCCAGCCATGAGCCCTTCTCCTCTCCCCCCTTGATTTGGAAACAAGGCTGAGTTGGAGAGAAGTCTCCAAAGCAGGAGAGCGAGGCTCTGCGTGCGCCAAGAGCAGAGAGAGGGAGAAGGAGAGCCATCGTGTTTCCTTTTTCCCTCCTCCCTCCCTTCTTTTTCCCCCTCTCATCCCTCTTTCTCTTTCCATTCACTCCCCTTCCCTCCCCTTTGGAGATGCACTTTCCTCCTCCTCTCAGTTTTTGTGCACAGAAAAGAAAAACACCTGTTCTCATGAGTACATATCAAAGGGTGCAATGTTTCGGCCACATGATGGTGCCGGATTATACAGCAGAGGTGGGATAACCAAGATTCTATTGTAGTAGGAATATTTAAGAACTTTAATATTGAGGGACTTAACCAAAATTATATCTCTTTTCCTGTAGTTGAACTTCAAGGATTGTGAAAAAGTTGTCAAGAAATACAATATGACCGGACAAAGATTTCTGGTAAGATTGTCAATAAACACTTCCAAAAGGTGGCTATTCTTTTGAAATTATTTCCAACACATAGTAGGTAAAATAGTAGGGGATGTGATGGGACTTTACACTTAAATAGTCACATTCAAAATATCACAGGTACAGAGAAATCTTTATTTTTGTCACAGAAGGCAACAGGTATGACCATAAATTACGGACAGACACTATTATAATATGCTGCATGTGTGTGTTTCTGTTTCAGAAAATGTCTGAAAGTGATATTCAGAAGTTTCCAAAGCTAAGAATGCCGTAAGTAAAACTGATCAGATTCTAAAATAGATTTGCAAAATGCCTTGTAAATATATTTCAAAGCATGTTTGATCAGATAAAAAAGTACTCTGACTCCAAGACATATTAAATATGTTCCAATCTGCTTTTTCCAAATGTTTTTTTCTTCTCAGAGCTAGACTAAGTGGACAGCAGGGAGAAATTACTTATGCAAGTGGCACTGGAGTGGGAGGTGGGGAGCAGAGGTAGATGAAAGCATGAAAATATTGCCTCTACTGGAGAGGGCTCCATTTTGGATCTGTTTTAGTCAGTAAATCACTTCCTGTTCTGGGTTACTGTAGGTTTTTTAGGCTGTATGGCCATGTTCTCTGCTGACCTTTTGCCTGCATCTATGGCAGGCAACCTCCCTCTGCTTTGCTGGGGATTTTTTTTGAGATTTTGCTGTTCTTGCTTGGGGAATCTTTTTTCTCTCTCTCTCTCTCTCTGTGCAGATTCCTTTGCTTCTGCATGCTGAAAAATCTTGAGTGGAGTAGAAATTAAGCACAGGGCCATATTGATTTCTGTTGTGCGTACAACAGGACAGAGCTCAGAAAAGTTAATTATTTTAGGACACAATCCTTAGAATCTCCAGCCATCATAGATGTGTACTCCAAAAAGTTATTGTTCCACTTTCTGCAGCTGGGATACTAGGAGTACATGTTTTATTTAACAGCACCTAGACAGTTGTAATTGCAATGTATTCTGAGGTGAATATGTTTCATAGCTCAGAAATAATAAAAGGTAAGTTAATAAACAGCAAAAAGTTTGCAATTTTACTGAGCTAGTAAAATGTTTATCACAAACTATGCAGAAAATGTGAAATGAACTCGTTGCATTTAAAGCAATTTTTAGGTCTAGTGCTTCTCTGTATTCATAAGGAGAGCAGGTGGAGGAGAGAGCTACATCCTTAAACACATTCAGATAACTGTCTAGAGGCCATGAAGAAGACATTTTATTGCAGGATTCTCCCTACTCTACTGGTTCCTTACATACAGGTTTTTTAAAAAATTCATTGACAAGCCTTTAACAGGCACTCCCTTATCTACATTCTAAAGCAGTGTAGTGTAGCGCCAGTGTCAATTTAGAAATGACTGTAAACAAGTCGTTAGACAGCAAATCATTTTTCATGGGGGGGGAGAGAGTTTAATTATATTCTTTCCGATCTCTGTCCCAACACACACATACACACACACACACACACACACACACACACACACACCGGGGCCTCTATTTGTCTTCTGGATGGAAGAGACCACTTTATGGCATCAATTTTCAGGGTTCTTTGACAGGGGAAAATACTCATCACCCTTGAGCATATCATAGATTTCTAGATTATAGGCTAGAGGTAGGCAAAGCCCCAACCTTTCTTCTCCTTTTCCTTCTGCTGAATTGAGTGTAAACTTCCTTTGCACTTTAGACTCACTTTCCAGGAATTTAAGTAATCTGAGGACAGGGAGCGGGGGAATGTGAGGAGGAGAGAGAAACTGGGATATTTTTATGGCAGTGGAAAAAGTGGGATTCCAGATTAATCTGGAATGTCCCTGTCAATTCAGAACTTTTGGAAGATAAATATTATCTTGGTTGTTGTAGGTTTTTCGGGCTATATGGCCATGTTCTAGGAGCATTCTCTCCTGACATTTCACCTGCGTCTATGGTAAGCATCCTCAGAGGTTGTGAAGTCCTCTGAAATGTCAGGAGAGAATGCTTCTAGAGCATGGCCATATGGTCCAAAAAACCTACAACAACCCAGTGATTCCAGCCATGAAAGCCTTCGACAAAGTCTTATCTTGTTTATTGACTGAAAATCTGAAACATCTTTTCTTGTATAGGCTGATGATAGCAGTTTAATGTGGAATTTTGTGTGAATTAAGCTGATATGTTCATATGAAGCTTTGAAGCATGTTGTTGTTTCTGATTGCCTTTTAGTCATTTTTAATTTTTGGTAGCCCTAAAATGAATCTATTGTGGGATTTCCTTGGTAATGGCTTCTTAAACTTTTCCCACTCATTACCCCTTTTTGTCCAAGAAATTTTTATATGACCCCAGCTATATAGATATATAAAATAGGTATAAAATCCAACATTTATGGATAATAAATCAGCATTTTTAAGGATTGCTAAACAGGCTGATTTTCCTATTTGTGGAGTACAGCTGAAGCATTTTCTGCAAAGTCTGGTGTAAACACTGCATATAGTTGTGAACATATTTCTACAAATTCAGAAACTTTTTACTGTTGCCAAATTTTTCATCATCCCAGCATTGAGCTAAAGGGACCCCATTTGGGGTTGGAACTCACAGTTTAAGAAGCAGTATTCTTAGCAACATTTGCTGAGAGGTGGGTTGCCTTTGCTCTCCTTTGAAGTTCACCTGTGGTCTCTGGACTTATCGGTCAATGTTCTAACCACTATACCATCCTGACTCTGTAACTCTTAACTACCACTTCATTAGCACTTGTAAGAAACAACCTTTGGTGTACTGCTCTTAATTTCAGGGAGAAGTCTTGGTGTATAGGTAAGCATATCTTCTGAAATGTCTCAAAACTCTTCCTCTGAGGGATGACTGCAAATACTAAAAAAGAGACTGCATGTATTTATGGGCAGGTGGTTGATCATATTTGATGAAAGGACTTATCTTGTTGGAATTTTAAAAATGTAATCTCAACCAAGTAACCCAATATCTCTTGCAGTTAAAGCTTGAGATCTCTTTCAGATAAAATACTGGCGTACACTCCATGCTCACCCAGTGAGGGATAGCAGCTGAAAGAGTCAGCCATTATGGGGGCAACTCTCTGAGCCTTGATCTACAGTGCCATATCATGTATTTATTTATTTATTATATTTATATACCACTTTTCTCACCCGAGGGGGGGGGGGGTGACCGATTGAAGATACTACAGGGGTTTGTGAAAATTGGCCTTGTAGTTCACTTGCATCCAGAGAGCACTGAACCCAGCCAACGAGAGATCTGGACCAAATTTGGCAAACAGACTCAACACTGCCAACTGTGGATACTGGCAGGGATTTTGAGTGATTGCCCTGGGAATCTGGAAGTTGTAGTTCACCCTCATCCAGAGAGCATGAAACCCAACTGACAACCAATCTGGACCAAACTTGGTACACAAAGCCAACATGGCCAACAGTGAATAAAGGCAGGGTTTGGGGGTGATAGCCCTTGGAATCTCAGAGCTGTAGTTCTGTCTTATCCAGAGAGCACTATTATTATTATTATTATTATTATTATTATTATTATTATTAAACTTTATTTGTACCCCACTAGCATCTCCCAGAGGATTCGATGCGGCTTACAACAGGCCGAGGCCACAACAATACAACATAGCAATACAATCAAGCAAATCAAACAATTAAAACAAATTAAAGCAAAATAAACAACAAGCACAGTACATTAAAACACAATAAAACTGGGCCGGGCCAAAAGGTGGGTACAAGGATTAAAAGTGCTGATTTGACAGGAGGTGTATAAAGGGTTTCTAGGGCAAGTGCGATGTGCAATGTGCAGCAATCATTGGTTCTGGTAAAGTGCTTGTGGGACTCGGTAGTGGAGATTTCCTAATCTGGGAAGGCGCATCGGAAAAGCCAGGTTTTTAAGTTCTTTCTGAAAATAGCCAATGAAGGGGCCTGTCTAAGGTCTTTGGGGAGGGTGTTCCAGAGTTGGGGGGCCACTACGGAGAAGGCCCTGTCCCGCGTCCCCACCAAGCGCGCCTGCGACGCTGGTGGGATCACGAGCAGGGCCTCTCCAGATGACCGAAGAGAACGCGTGGGTTCGTAGATGGAAATGCGGTCACGCAGGTAGGCTGGTCCCAAACCGTTCAGGGCTTTGTAGGTAAGCACCTGCACCTTGAATTGGGCTCGGAATATAAACGGCAGCCAGTGGAGTTCCTTAAACAGGAGGGTTGACCTCTCTCTGTAAGGGGCCCCCGTTAGCATCCTGGCTGCTGATCGTTGGACCAGTTGGAGCTTCCGAGCCGTCTTCAAGGGCAGCCCCACGTAGAGCGCATTGCAGTAATCCAATCTGGAGGTGACCAAGGCATGGACCACTCCGGCCAGATCCGCCTTCGCGAGGTACGGTCGCAGTTGGCGCACGAGTCTCAGTTGTGCAAAAGCCCTCCCAGTCGCTGCTGACTCCTGAGCCTCAAGCGAGAGCGTAGAATCCAAGAGGACTCCCAAACTGCGGACCTGTGACTTCAGGGGGAGTATAACCCCATCCAGCACAGGTTGCCACCCTATACCCCAGTCAGGTTTGCGATCGACCAGAAGGACCTCTGTCTTGTCGGGATTGATCTTCAGCTTGTTCCTCCTCATCCAGATAGACACAGCGGCCAGGCACTCATCCAGCACCCGAGAGGCCTCCTTGGAGTTAGGTGGAAAGGAGTAGTAGAGCTGTGTGTCATCCGCATAGAGATGGCACCTAGCTCCAAAACTCCGGATGACCTCTCCCAGCGGTTTCATAAGACACCTACTAACCCAAGGAGTGAAAATCACTGAAAAAATTGATACAGCCAGACAATGACATACCTGGACCAAACTTGGCGCGCAGACCCAAAATGGCCAACTCTGAATACTGGCAGGGTTTGGAGAAGATTGACCCATGGTTCTGGAAATTGTTGTTCACTCACAGCAAACTGAGAATACCTAACACCCAAAATCAAACAATGCCTTTTTAAATAACTGGGCATTGGTGGGTCCCTAAGCTAGTATAGCTATAATTTAAAATCATTAAAACCATGAAACATGATGCAATTTGGAACTGCATTATATAGGTCTCCACTGCTGCTTCTCCCAAGCAATCTCAAAAACCTTAGCCTACTTTCTTCGACTGTGAACATTTCGGATCAATGAACATTTTGGATCAAGTGAAGTGATCTACATGGGAGATAATGGAATGGTGGGTTTTGTTCTGAGGAGTAGTTATCGTTTTATAGATGTGAGTGTCAAATTATGCAAAGCGAGTCTGAGTTTAATGTT